GCTGCAGGCTTGTTACTGACACTCTTAATTCATGTTCAACATTCAGCTTCGACCTGTACATTGTTTTCAGAGAAGCCACAGCAGAAAAGCTGATCTCACAGAGGCAGGAGGTGGCGAAGGGAAGCAGAATACTCACAGCCGCAATGAACGGATGCTCCCTCTCCACACAAACCCAGAACTCACTCAGTGCCTGTGATGAAAACTGCAGTCTCAGGGAGGAAAAGGCAATTTAAAAAAAATAAAAATAAAAACGACTAGCTTTAAATGAAAACCATTCCTGGCCAAATCTGGTGTCGTCTTACATAACACTCATGGTCATTATTGGATGACCTCATACACACAGAGAAATGCTCTAAAATACAATAGAAAGGCTTATGAGGTGTATTGTATGTTATTGTAGTTTCCAGTCTTTGTTTTCACACTAACCTTTCCACTTCTAAAGAAAAACAAAGGTCCCCAAATTTAGCCAGTAACAGCTGCAAGACTGTAAGATCTAAATGAACAACCGCACAGATTTATTTCCCCCTCCTACCTGACCAAGGGGGGATTTGAAAAATTCTAGAAAAAATGGCATTGACTTTCATTTAATCAAAACTCTAAATTACAGAGTAAAAAGCAGCCTTACAGCAATCAGACATGAAGGGATGCTACATCAGTTTTATTCTTAGTGGTACCAAGCAGCCTTCTGACAGATAAAACTTGGTCCCTGTACAGACATCTGCATGATGGAGGAGGTTGAACACACAGTACTTCACATTAAGTTCTTCTGTTTAACATTTAGGTGTATGAAAAGAAAATATATTAAAGCACAGTTGCAGTAATAACAAACTATGTCTTAATGGGAGACATTATAGCAAATTCTGTACCGTAAAAACACATTTAAAATTCCTTCATATCTGCTGACAAATACGTTAAAATGTGTTATAAATATCTGTATCGAGCTTACTCTGACTAAACAGTGGAACTGAAATGTAAAGTGTTACCACAAATGATTATACAGTTATGAGAAAATACTTCATTGTAATTGGCTGGCAGCTGTTATTTAAAAAATTACATAAACATCTGAAGGTCTCCCACATGTAGGTCTGTAGGTTTCCATGCTACATGGATCATGTAATTGTATTTTGTAAAAAACAAATAATAATAATATGATCATATAATGTGCCTTCTGTCATAATTATCTTCATGTGTTGATTTATGGTTTGTGGATGGTTATATTCAATGATCCAGTGGTGCTGCTGCTGCTGATCATCGGGGCGATGACAACAGATCCTTCCTGAGCTGATATTGTGGCTGCAGGAGCAGCAGCAGCAGCAGCAGCAGCAGCAGCAGGGGGGCTCTGAGCAGAGGAGGAGGTGGAGGGAGCAGCTGGTCTTCCCTCTGCAGGTGAAAAGACACAGAAGTAAAAGTTAATACAAACAGGTGATCACAGGCTGGCAAGAAGCAGCTTGTTGGTTGCAGGTAGAGTTTAAGAAACGCATCATTCTCCTCACCAGCATACATGTTGCACAACTTATCTGCTAAACTGTTGTTTCTCATCTTCTTCAGGATCTCAACAGTGAGGCGCACAGCCGACTCTTCCCCGTAGCTCTCTGTCAGCTTGGTCACAGTTACAATCCGGGACGCTTTGTCCAGA